CTTGGATTCTTCCGTATACCCGGCTGAGCTGCAAGCCCGGGCCTTCATGATCCAGTCACAGTGATCGAACTGCCCCAAGAAGTGCCAGATCTTCAGGATCTGCAGCAGCACAAAAGACCAGCAAGACGGATTCTCCACCCAAACTGGCCCAGTGATGTTTCGGACTTGATGTCTGAATGGCAGGAGCATGTCTGCTTGGATTCCATGGATTCCGATCCATCGGGGGTTCACCGCATTCGGAAGGACAGACAAGGGGGGGGCCCGAGGCAAAGCATGGGAAGGTGGGGCATGATCGTGGTTTTTGTGGCGTTCCATCCAAAGGATCTTCTTTTACCTCTTCATCCGAAGATGGTGACTTCAGAGTTTCTTCTCCGAAGATGACTACTGTAGTCATCATGCGGTCGTCGCAATCCCAAGAACGAAGCCGTAGCCCCAGAACGTTCAGGCTTGTGTCTAATTCTCTAAGAGACTGCATAGCCTCAGAATGCGTGCAACTTGCCGGCCCTTCGCAAAACCAATGCAAGCAAGTCTGCACCAGATGAATTCCTGAGAGACGTTCCACAACCCTCCCACGGAAGATATCTCACCCTGCGGCTCGTCATAACTTGGCTCCCGGCCCGGACAGGTAGCCGCTTGTAGTCGACCTCCAAATCGCCGGGCACGTGAAGCGTGTAGGGCTCCAAAGGCGTCCTGCCAGTACTGAAAACCGCGCCGGTGCGGTGCAGGCAGGCTCGGAGGGAGCAGGCTCAGAGGCGTCTTCGAAAGATGAACACCGGAGATGTTCCTGCTGTTAGATGAGAAGATGATACCCCTTCTGCTCCTTCTGCCCGGTTCAGAGCCGTGGCTCAGAGAACTTAACGGTTCCCCTTCAGGGGAAGGAAAGGAGGTACCAAAACAACACGGAATGGTCAGCTTTCAGTCCTTGGTCCTTGGAACCCGCCCATTGGCCCATCAACTGGTTTGATGTTTCAGCTGGTACCGGCACCAGAGAAGCCAAATCCCAAAAAAATGGAACACCCCAACTCACAAAGAAAGAATGCAAAAACAGTCGAAGATAGTGAGACAGTGAGACCCATTCTGGAAAAAATAGACGCCATCTCCGCATCCCCCCCCCCTCCGAAACCCCCCCACGGCGGTCCCCACCGTCGAGGCGACACTGACGAAGCGCACCTGGGCGCCTCCGACTCGTCGGTCGCCGGGAGGAGTGGTTGGGAGTAGGCCGGGGGAAGGCCTTCGGAGAGTGCGAAGGGGTGGATCTTCTGGTTCCGGCCACTTGAGAAAGCCCCCCCGGAAGTAGACTTCGGCACCCCCGTACTGGCCAATTGCTCCGGTCCAGGAAATTGAACGACATACCACCGTATGGGTCGAGGAAGTCTTCATCTCATGTTCCAATGTCCGCACTTGCCAGTGTTGGGCCTATGTGAGACGCTACCTCAACCCCCCCCTGGCAAATGAAAACACGACTAACCCACGTGTGGCAATCAGCAAATGAGCTTCACTCTTGAATACACCAAGCAATCCCTAGTGCATATAGAGATCTTCCCCAAATGGACTTTGGCTCTGGCTATCTCAAGACGTCCCGCATGACAACATCTCCGGCGCAACACCCCAAAAAAACTCACAGACCCATTGCAGGTTTGCATGTCAGTGCCCAAGAAGCAGCCTGATCACCCAAGAACTCTTGCACCTCACCTTCGATTCAAATTTTGGGAACCCAAAAATGATAGATGTCTTGGAGAGATTAAAACCTCACCATCACCAACATGCCATAACATGCCTCACCATCACCAACCGCTCAAGACTCACTCGCTCTACCCCTCCTCACCGGGAGGAGGAGCCGCACCTGCGGCCTGTTGGAGCTCTTCTCTCGCCCAAGACTCTAAGGCAGCCAAGGACAGGGCAGCGTCCTCCACGAGAAAAGCGGTCATGACGGCTCTGGGGAGCGGGGGAGCCCGGCATGGTCTCACTTGCTGGACCGCAAGTTAAGTCCATCCCAGTGAAGGAAGGACAGGGTTTGCTCGTGCGTCTTTCAAAAACAGAAGGCGTTTGAGTCAGCCAGAGGATGTTCGAGTCGGTGAAAAGCCAAAGCAATGATGAAAAGAGCGTCGGACCAGGCCAGGCTGCTCGCACAGAGCGTGTGGCCAGGCCAGGCTGCTCGCCCGGGATTTTATTATAATATAGTCCCGAGTCGTCTTGAACCTTCTTTTTTGGTGAGAGTGGTGCAAGGTGTATGTCATCCGAGAAATAGGACCAAGTGTTTGGATAGCTTGCAAAGTTGCGTAAATCCAAAGTTCACCTGGGAATTCGTCAGGTTGCTAGTGGCTGGTGGCTCATGTTGCAGGCCGCACTGCCGCCATGGCAAACTCGCGGCGCTCCTTCTTGCTCCGCCCACTGATGGGAATGAAGACACATAGATGAGTTCCTAGGCGCGCTGGTTTGGTCACGCGGGTTGACTCCTGGGGCGGCGACCCCGACAGAAGTGCTTCACCCCTGTACATGGCTGGAAGCCGTGAACTTGGACACCTCTAAATCAGCCAGGCTGGCAATTCTACATTTTTGTTATGGAAGGTCTCTGGTTGCCAAATGACCTAGTGGATTGTCCTCTCCGATTTCTTGATCAAACGTGGGGAGGCCTCGTAGACCTCTTGCGTCACTCGGACGAAGCGCTCCGCGTGTGGCTAGGGCGGCGAACGGGTGCAAACCATAGACCATGTCTAAAGGTGATCAAGATCAAGCACCTGTTGCGCTTGTGCCTGTAAAACTTTGTAGCGCTCTGACATCCACACGGTGGAAAGCGGCGGTTGCATCAGCATGCATCAACTACAACAGCACCAGTCAACAGTCACTTCATTCCCACCAATTCAAACCAAAACGAGCTACGCTGTACCCGGTTACCCAGCTCTACCAGCGCTACCAGCTCTATATCCAGCTCTACCCAACCACCTCTACCCAATCACCACCACCCACAGCACCCAGCTCTTCCACTTCCAAGGTACGCGTGGGAGAGAAGCCGACCGTGCCCATCAGGGCCGCAACAGCGCAAAGCAGCCGTAACCTCGAGCGGTCAGCCACCGCCCGGGTGCGTCGAACTGCCAGGTGGTTTTGGGAGGCTGAGGAGTTCAGAGTTTTGGTCGGGTGAAAAGGTGGTCCTTTTCCGTTGTACCAAGAAGGTGAAGGAAGCGTCACCGGTGTTTTCCGGAAGTGGTTTCTTGTTCCGATGCGTCGCATTCGTGGGTCCCGAGGAAGTTCGATGTTCACACAGACAAAATGGCGGGAAGTGATGGTGCTTTGGCGGCGGATCGTTGAAATCCACGTGTCAGATGGATGCGCGCGGGGTCTTTCCCAATTGAAACACCGCCGTATCCGCGTGGCTACCCTATAGCATCCTTGAAAGAATCCAGTGAGCTGTTAAAATCCTTAATTATTATATAGACAACAAAAAAGTAGATCCCCATTTGAAATGTATTGGAAACCGTGCCACTATATTGTTGGGAATCACTATAAAAACCACTTCCACAACTCTGGTCTGCCAGAACAGTGTCGAATGATTTCCCGGTAGACACTACTCGGACGCAAAGGTTCCGATATCCCTCGCAATCGAGCAATCTCTGTTCTTTCCATGTTGGTCGCACCTCTTTCTAGCCTTCTTCTACTGAATCCCTTGCCCGGCTAGAAAGTTCACCCTAAAACGAATTCAGTCAGTTCATGGACATTTGGACATTTCACTCATCCCATTGGAATGTGTGCAGTAGATGTCCATCTCGACCGTACCCCATCTTCCAAGACTTGGGCATTCAGTTCACTTCGATGTCACCTTTTCAGACGGTTGTCATCGAAACCACCGACCACGGTTTCCGTGGTCTCCGCTTCGATCGGCATGTCGCCAGGTTTCCCCACATGGCCCATGATGGCGGCCGAAGCAGGTTTTGAACGCGCAACTGGGGATGTCAGGGTGTGTATGTGTGTGTGTGTGAGTGTGTGTTTCAAATGGATTCACAACATCAATCCAACAACGTATGGAGCATGGATTGACAACATGTCAAATTTGCTCTCGCATGTCAAGATGGTGGTGGAAACCAAGAATGAAAAACCACCATCCTGTTCAAGGGTCTGCAGGAATCCATTGGTTCCAGGTGACCTTGCAAGGTTGCTTCTATTGTCAGTGGCCGTCGTTGTGCTGCGGATGGGCATTTTCTTGGATTTTGGACCTGCCGTTCATCAACCTCCCATCAAACCTCAAAAATGCCACCTGGAAAAACAAGTGTCGGAAAAATTGTCCACTGGAAGGTCGACTGAAAAACATATCATCCCCATTCAGCCGTGCTCTAACTCAAGAAAAGTTATCTACACTTGATCGTTGGTTGGTCGATCCATTTCGTTTTGACGATTATGATCAAAAACCCTGAGAGTCCCACACCCTTGATTCTTCAGCCACGAGCACAAATCCAATGTGTGGTTTTCCTGCCACGCTCAAAGCACACTTGAACATCCTCACTCCTCCCACTGGCGTTGCCAGTACTATAGTTGATCACAGAAAAGCCTCCGTCAGACTCTTCTGCAAGCGCTGGTTCCAAATTGCCGCTCAATCTGGACCAGAGGTGCCCTTGGTCTTGGTAACAATGAAACAATGATCAACACTTGAGTCACTGCACACAAAATGAATTTGCAAACTTGAATCCCTGTGACCGAACCCCAGGAGCTCACTCTAACCCAGGTGAATGTCCGACAACACTGCTGCTTTTCCACGATCGCGAACACCGCGACCGCTGGCATAGCGCCCGGCACCAGGCGTCACCCCGGAATCAGCTCTGTAGACGCGAATTTGTTCCTCTTTTTCTCCCCAAACAGTGTGGACATTCTTACGGTAGGTGTTTAGCACCGGGGCTAGATCGAGGCGTGGACGGCAAATTCGCTGCCATTTACAGCACATCCATGCCTCTCGAAGTTGTCGACGTGCACTTCGACTGCGCAGGCTCGCAAAAGCTGGGTGTCCGCGGCGGGTGCTTCCAGCGGCTGCACTCTCGTTGTGGTGCCGCGCGCATTTTCGCACATGGTGGTCACTTTTCGTGGCGGGCGCAAGGGAAACTTCGTGCTTTGGTGGTCCCAAGTCGATTTTTCGTGACATGCACAAGGGATCGGAGCGGCTTTGCTTCGAAGTGCAGATTTCGTGGCAGGCGCCGTACTTTGGACATGGTCGTGATATTCGACGCGCTCTGATTTCGACAGGTGCAAATTATCGTGACTTTTGGACATGTGGTTCGTTTGCAGATTTCATGGCAGGCGAACCGCTTTGTGAACCTCGAAGTGCGAAGTGCAGATTGCGTGGCAGGCACAGCAAAACTTGCGAACCTCGAAGTGCAGATTTTGTGGCAGGCTCAGCACTTTGCGAACCTCGAAGTGCAGATGCTCACTCTCACTCACATTAACTCTTCACTCACACACATTCACACTCACACTCACATTCACACTCACACTCACTCACACTCGCATTCACATTCACATTCACACACAGGCTCACACACCCTCTCACTCTCTCGCTCTCTCGCTCTCTCACTCACTCACTCACTCACTCACTCTCACTCACTCACTCACTCACTCTCTCTCTCTCTCACTCTCTCACTCACTCACTCACTCTCACTCACTCACTCACTCTCACTCACTCTCACTCTCACTCTCACTCTCACTCTCTCTCACTCTCTCTCACTCTCACTCACTCACTCACTCTCACTCTCACTCTCACTCTCACTCTCTCTCTCTCTCACTCTCACTCTCACACACTCTCACTCTCACTCTCACTCTCACTCTCTCACTCTCACTCTCACTCTCACACTCTCTCTCTCTCTCTCCCTCACACTCTCACTCACACTCTCACTCTCACTCTCACACTCACTCTCACTCTCTCACTCTCACTCTCACTCTCACTCTCACTCTCACACTCTCTCTCTCTCTCCCTCACACTCTCACTCGCACTCTCACTCTCACTCTCTCACACTCACACTCACACTCACACTCACACAATCACACTCACACTCACACTCACACTCACACTCTCTCCCTCTCTCTCTGTCATTCTCTCATCACGCTGACGCAAGAGACAAAGCTTCTTCGTTTTTCAGCGAGCATTTCAAAGAGCGAATAACTTCCGCCTCGAAAGGAGAGAAAAGGTGTTGCAGCCGAATCAGGTGGGGACTGAAGCCGTCATCATGTCCAAAGGTCTCTAGAGGTCACAGGTTCGGAAGGATCCCACAGAAGTCGAATGGAAACTTGTCCGACACAGTGAACACAAGAGGCATGTCTTTCTTGGCTTCATTGAGAACTGAAGAAGCTTGAACCCACTCAAACATGCACGAAACTGTTCAAGAAACATTCACACTGGGAATCCATGTCCAAACACTCAGTGTGGAGCCACGCAAATGGACAAAAACGGCCTCCGTTTTGGAGGTCCAGAATGGAACCCAAAACGGGGCGCCGGACCACAAGCAAATCAAATTGAGACTGACTGAACGACCTCCATTTTGGCGTCCGTTTCCCAAAACGGGGGCCGTTTTGTTGGCGAAATTTTGTCAACGGGCGAAAAATGGCACAAGTTTCGATTTTTTCTGCAGGTACAGAAAGAAGTTCCATGCCGACTTGGTTTCCATGGTTTTGCAGCGGTACAGCCTCGGCGCCGCTTCGGCGCCGCTCGACCCCTCCATTACAATGCGCGGTGCCGCCTCAGCCCTCGGAGTGGCCCTCGGAGTGCAAGTAGTCGAAGCTCGGTGATCAGAACAATGTAGGTCAGCTTTACCCTGGTCACAATCGTTCCAATCAATTGCGAAAGCAGGAAGGGCTGTGGCCTGTAATAGAGGGCCCGAGCGGCGCCGAAGCGGTGCCGGGGCGGGCTGCGCATTGTAATAGAGGGTACCGAAGCCGCGCCGCGCATTGTAATAAAGAGCCCGAGCCGTACTGAAATGGTGCCGAGATGGTACCCCGCACTGTAATATAGATTGTCCGACCCAACCCAGAGCTTGATTGTATCCGCAAAAACTCATATAGCGCGTTGAAGGGAAAATTCAAACGTTGATGCTTAAGATGGAACCGGGACCTGGGTGGCAACCTGGCGTAGCTAGCAACAAACACCAAGGACGTGAGCATGAACCTCAACAATATCTTTTCAAAAGCCCATCCTTCACAACATGCATCAAACAACAACGTCAAATAGAATGAAACAAGAATTCCTTGCCACACTGAATGACCAGAGATGGCTCCTGAACACTGGCCTAAAAACATACGCAAACATGATAGGCTCCACGGCCCCACGGCGCCAAAACCTTCGCTCAACATCTCCCCACCCTTCTTCCCTCTCAAACAAACACGCACCAAGCGTGCAAGGCCGCAATCAGACTGCTGAAACAAGCAGCTGACCATTGATCTAAGCTTGATTGTTTTTGATCAAGAACATCATACACGCCAAACGCTTTCTCCCCAATTCAAATCACATAGGTTTTCCAAACTTTTTGCTCCTTCAAGAGATGGAAAAAGATGATTTTTCTGGACACCAGTTTGGGGTCCAAAAACCCTAGCAAAAACCGGTCTCGCCACAGAGGGCCTCCCCAGTAGTTTTGGAGCTGTGTCCGCACGCGACGGTAGGAAAGATGGGTGGTTGGCGCCCAGGTGAGAACCTTAGTTCTTCGCCTGGTGAGGGTCCGTAGCCTGCCAACCCTGTACAAAGCGGGCAAAAGGCGCCACACTAGCCTTCCAAGTTTCACCATGTTTGACTGGGGCCGTGCATGAAGGAGGCGAGTCGTTGGATGGATCGGATTGCTATCCTGCCAAGACAGCACATTGCACATTTGCTGTGCTCGCGTAGGCTTAGCTGTTAAGGAGCTTTTGAAATGCGCACACCTGCTCTCTCAGTCGAGAGAGCTTCGTCAGGCCGGAAAGCGCACCTGAAAGCAACGACTACCATAGGCAAGCTGCCCGCGCGGCATCGCCTCGGACCGTGCGCGCTTCTGTGAAGAGCGACATCGAGGGCGCCACTTTTT